TATGTGTGTATACGTATAATGTAGGGTAACTCCGGTATATACACCGCATCCATCAAAAACTTAATTTATTACGTATTACTTACTATGTTTATAGTAAACGAACTATGTCAGTAAAAATTTTGTACTGTCTACTATTATGAAAAAAATATTAGAAATTCGAAATATTTATTTTTCATATTAAAAAATTAACTTTTTGAAACCCTTGCATTTTTGCCATATATATCCTATAGGGGTGGGATATATGGCTACTCATAGGGGGAGGGGGGGATATGTACGGTTTATGAAAAATTTACAAATAATGCATATAAATAAGACGTATAATGACATAATAACTTATAAAATATGTTTATAAAGTTTTTTTTATTAAGGAATAAGAATGATAAATATGTATATGAAGTAATAAATATTTATGATCTTCCTACATATATTACAAATATTATGACATGAGGTACATATTTCATATAATGCGTTTATTGCATTTAGTGCACTGAATTCAATCTAAGCACTTCGTATGCTTTGAGCATAAATCCCGCTCGCTAAAAATGTCGTATATCCCAAACAGGTGGAATATACAAGACAACAAACTAAACAAAGAATACGAAAGCAAAGCTCTTGTATTTTGCTACACAACATGCTTTACTATTCCACTACACGTATGTATCGCGAAATAAGTCTTTTACACGCCCTACAGTAATCATTTTATGTAGGTTATAATTTATGATGGCGTTACTTATTACAGTGACAAATCGATTCAATTCACAATAAATTCATTAATATTAACAGTAAGAAGCTGAAATCATAATACAATATTAATATAACATAAAGGCATGTAACAGAGTAATTACGGGAAAATTACCCCTACTCCTTCTATTTTTTCTGACTTCTGCGGCATAAATCCCAGCGCGGCGTATTTGCCGGAGTTACCCTATAACAAATGAAAAAAAGATAAAATATTTAAAAAATATTTTTAAAGAAAGACACATATTTACACGCAACATTCTAATTTAGTACAAAATAAATTAAAAGTAAAAAATAATTGTCTTTATTACAGATATGGATATTATGGGAATTATCCCGGGTATGACAGATATGGAGGATATGGAGGATACCGAGGATATGGAGGCTATGGGGAATATGGAAAGGGATATTATCCTGGTAGTTATGGGGGTTATGGGAGTTATGGTGTTGGAGGTTACGACAATTTAGGATACGGACGTGATTACGGCCGTTACGATGGATACGATAATGGTTATGGAAATACATATGGTACATATGGCTCAACATATGCAGCGAGGAGTCCATATTCTCCATACAGTTATCGTAGCGATAGTTATGGCACTTCTTTGAGTAATCCGTCTGGTTATCGTGGTTATTCATAAACGTGACTTTGTTATATATTTTCATGTAACACTTACAAACATTATAATTAAAAATGACTTAATATACATTTGTGTTAATATATATACAATTTTAGTATAATAATATATAAACTATTAATTACATTTTTTAATTTTGTTGGAATATGCAAAAGCTGTATGATAACATATCTTTCATATAACACATATATCACATTTCATATATCACAAAAGAAAAAAATCAATGATAAAATTTTATAATGCAAAAAATATATGTATGCTATATAAGATTAAAATAAAAATCTGATAATTATATTATTATAATTATATTATATTGTTTACGATACTTTTTATTCCTCGCGTATATTTATATATTTTTCTATTTACAATTATGTCCGAGTTCTCGTCCGGATTATAATCATTGTAGTCGCGTTCCCGCGCGCCCAATCCAACAGGGTTTTATATAGAGAAGGAAAAACCTTCTCTGCACCGGCGCGGTGCTCGTCGCCATTAACTCCATTGTGTTTCCTGTTGCCTCATCAACAGTTCGCGTAGTGGTCTGTAGAGTTTTTTCGTTCGCATCTGACTTCTATTCTCCTTCACGATGCCTAAAGACAGGTATAGAAGCCGCTCTAGGTCTCCTAGGAGGCCATCCAGAGCCTACAGGGCTCGGTCCTGTAACCGATATCGCGATCGTTCGATATCAAGATCGCTCTCGCGAGCGGATTGGTTCTCGCGAAGAACATCGCAACAATCCAAGGATTCACTCACGCCAGCCCTCCGAGAATCCACGACGATGGAGAAGCTGATTCATCTCGTCGAAGATCAGGCGAAGCGCCTGGACAGAATTGAGGTTAGATTGCCCGGCGCTGGCCAGCGCGCAGTGCTTCCGACGTCGCAGCCCCACGGAGCTTCTTCTTCTTGTTATTGGCCTCGCAGCCTACGCAGGCTGATACTGGGCCATTGAGGTCTACGTAAATTGAATCGAATCGTAATTGGGAGTGCGATGCACCGGCCACCTCGAACCGGGCGAGTAAAATAAAGGATGATGCAATCAAAATGGTGGGGCGCCCCTTCACTTCCGACGTCGCAGCCTCACGGAGCGTCTCCTCAGCCGTCGGAGAACAAACGATTTCCTTAAACCGGGGCTCTGTACCAGGTGTGCCCATGGTATAAAGACAAGGGTATGCTCATCCCATGGAAACCCACTGCGCATCTCAACAAGCTTACGTCACATTCGTAAAAGAGAGAAAGAGAGAAGTTTATATGTATACACAACCCCTCTCTTTCTCTCCTTCGAAACGTGACGTATGTTGGTTGAATGTCACGTGGTACCTATATGCGCATGAGCATACCCTTGTTCTTGTATCATGGGTGTGCCCCCTCCGCGACCCCTTGCGCACCCTGTGCCATCGACATAGAGAGGGCTGTTCCTCCAAAGCATTTTTCTTTAAGGTAATACCTTTTCTTTTTAGACTCTCTTCCGGAGAGCTTGACGTCGGTTTTCTTTCGCCCTAAATCAGGACGAAGAGCCGAAGGTCCAGACTTCTCTCTCGCTCGCCTCGAAGTGGTTTGGGCCCAAGGGTGACACGAGCGGGGATTTTTCCTAGGACCCGCAGATGTTTAAATCGGCCAGTGACACGGTTCACTCTGGCTTAAATGCCGAAGAATGGAAAGTCTTTCTGTCCACATAAGGTTATCCCCGCGACACAAGGCCCTTACTCCTCTGTCTCAAAGAGAGACGAGCACCAGGCTGCTTTACAGTCATAGGTTGCCACCTGCCTGAACGCTCTGGGTACATAATAGGGGCCTTTCCTCTATTAGCAATATTATAAAATATTTAAGGAAAGGGAGAGGAGAAATTAAGTATTAATTTAAAAACATAATTTTTATGTTTTATTATAATAATTTCTAAACATCTATGTATATATTAAATTATTATTACATACGTACTATATATATATATAACCTTTTTATTCAATTTTATTTCAAAAAATTAAATATAAAATGTTTTAGCACAGAAAAATCTCTGTTATACAAATTGTAATAATAAATATTAGGATATTGGTTAGTATGGAACCGTATAGAGTCTAGAAATAGCATCTACGAAAAATCTCTCTTTAGTTTTACATCAAACTAAATATTGAATAAATAACCGTAATGAATCGAATATAAGTTTTATAATTTCTATCAACTTAGAAAAAATTATCATTTTTTAAATAATGTAGGATAGCATATATATTAAATAATTTAAATAATACAAAATTATGCAATATATACAAAATTCAAAAGCAATAATGTTAGAGAAATTATATCTACAAAAGAGATATTTTTTGTAGATATTTTTATTTTAAATTTTTTAAATTAATCAAATATTAGCAGAAAATTAACTATCTGTCTGTCCTTTATGCAGCTTTACAGGATAAATTAATTTAATAAAAACGATACACACTGGAAAAATTTGTTATTAATTCAATTTTTAGTTTGAAGGTTTTATGTATTCTATTGGCTTTGGTTATTTCGGCAAATATCTTTAATTTGGCTATCCATCAACTAACCAGCAGCTGACGGACAGGCAATGCCAATATCCTATATTTATTTCTCTTCTCCAGGAGAAGACAAGCTCTTTTTAGAACGATCGCAACTCAAACTTAATAAGTTAGTGTTACACTCCTCATTTCGCCTTTCGTCTTCGCTCGATGTTGGTCTTAACTGGAACATTCAAAAAGCCAAGATTGGATTGATATAATGCCTCTTTGAGATAGTCGATATTGCCAAGTTGATTTATATCGAGCGTTTTTACAACAAATTTGTTGTCTTGTGTATCACATGTGTCGCATGCATATGGAACAGGAGTAGCGGATGGGAACATAAGTTTCATCTTACTGCTGTCCATCTTTTTACCAGGACAGTATGGTACGAAGATAACAGGAATGAATCCCAATTGCCCAATGATAGAAGTGAGAGTCGAGCTGGTTGCTACGTTTGTGTTGTTATTCGGCTCGACTAAGTAACAGGGACATGCTTGTGAATTTGGCCCTACAGGTAACGATAAGGACTTGACGTTGATGGAGCTGGGCGGCTGAACCCGTATAGCGTCGAAAACGGGATTCATCCGGAATGTCTGCTCAAGGCGTGCATTTACCTGTCTGTCCGGAGCAGAGGAAGGTCCATCCGACTGAAAGGACATGTTAGAAATCAGTTTGCCATCCACATCGGCAGAATTATTATATTGTCCATCCACATTAAATTTGTCTTCTTGTTGTTTTAATTTATCAAATTGATCTGAGTCTTTAGGAAGCTTTTGCTGTTGTGAGTTATATGATGGATAAAATATTGACTTTTGGTACTGATCCCGATCATGCACAGAAAATTGCTTGAAATTATTTTTCGAAGGTTTCTTTATTTGTTGCGATCCTGTATGTATCAAGTGATTATAAAATTGTGAATTCGGTTTTAACACATCTGTATATTGATAATCTTCGATCTCATATTTCAATGATGACGGTGTCAGATCTGTTTGCAACAGTGAATTAATTTTATTTGCGTTGTAGGTAGTTTCTTTTTCCCCATAGATTGACGACATGGATTGAATTCCGTATTGAGGTCTATACTGACTATGCTTTATATATAATGATGTATTAACTTTTGCTGGGTGTGACAACTTTGACAATTTGATATCCTTTAGAGTATAGCCCGTATACGAAGAATCAGTTTTATTATTAAAACTATATTTCGAGAAAGAGTTATATCTGTCTGTATCAAATGACTCAATGGTAGAATGATTTATTGAACTTTTATGCGAAGGTTTTCTTGTTGGTTTTATTCCGGGTATATAATCTGGATCACCAGGCCATGGTCCATCAGGACCCGGGGAACCGGTTGGCCATGGTCCGTCGGGACCATCAGGACCAACGCCACCGACACCTCCAATGCCACCAATATCACCAATCGGACCTACACTTCCCACCGGACCCTCAGGTCCTATTGGCCCTTCTGGATTCTTTGAATCTTCTGTATATTCTGGATACGTAGGATAACCTGGATAACCTACATGAATGTAATCAGAACAATATGAATAAATTATTATATATTCAAATCTTGTGCAAGAATAAATAATGTTTGACGTAATATTTATAATTACGATAATAATAATTAAGAAATCTTAATAACATACCTGGTTTATTCGGCTTGAAAGAAATGCATGGCCTATTTGGTGTAGTGGTAATCCCGGGATATAATAAATCATCTGGTTTACCTAGCGTCTCAGAATGTAAAGGTACATTAGGTGTTTCTGATGTAACAGGGTAAATAGGATATCCAGGATATGACAATATTGGTTTTCCTAGATTTTCAGATATTTCTGATATACCGAGAGTGCCAGATGTGCTAGCGATACTAATTCCTATGTGTCCTGGATATGATGTTCCCGGAGTTCCAGGTATACCAGGATATGTTGGGTATAATTCGACTATTCCGGGAATGCCTGGAGTTCCTGGATGTCCAGGATATGATGACGTTCCTGGTCGTCCTGGTGTTCCTGGTATACCAGGTATGCCTGGAATACCAGGGATGCTAGGAGTTCCTGGATACCCTGGATATGATGGTCCTAATGGTTTTCCTGGAATGCCTGGGATAGATGTTGGCGTTCCTGGTTTTCCTGGCGTGCCTGAAGTACCAGGAATTCCAGGAGTTCCTGGATACCCTGGATATGTTGGTGTTCCTGGTTTTCCTGGCGTTCCTGGAGTACCAGGAATTCCAGGAGTTCCTGGATACCCTGTATGTAACGGTATTCCTGGTTTTCCCGGTATACCTGGAGTACCAGGGATGCCAGGAGTCCCTGAATGCCCTGGATATGATGGTTTTCCTGGAATTCCAGGTCTCCCTGGAGTACCAGGGATGCCAGGAGTCCCTGGATGCCCTGGATATGACGGTGTTCCTGGTGTTCCTGGAGTACCAGGGATACCAGGAGTTCCTGGATGCCCTGGATATGACGGTGTTCCTGGAGTACCAGGGATGCCGGGAGTTCCTGGATGCCCTGGATATGACGGTGTTCCTGGAGTACCAGGGATGCCGGGAGTTCCTGGATGCCCTGGATATGACGGTGTTCCTGGAGTACCAGGGATGCCGGGAGTTCCTGGATGCCCTGGATATGACGGTGTTCCTGGAGTACCAGGGATGCCGGGAGTTCCTGGATGCCCTGGATATGACGGTGTTCCTGGAGTACCAGGGATGCCGGGAGTTCCTGGATGCCCTGGATATGACGGTGTTCCTGGAGTACCAGGGATGCCGGGAGTTCCTGGATGCCCTGGATATGACGGTGTTCCTGGAGTACCAGGGATGCCGGGAGTTCCTGGATGCCCTGGATATGACGGTGTTCCTGGAGTACCAGGGATGCCGGGAGTTCCTGGATGCCCTGGATATGACGGTGTTCCTGGAGTACCAGGGATGCCGGGAGTTCCTGGATGCCCTGGATATGACGGTGTTCCTGGAGTACCAGGGATGCCGGGAGTTCCTGGATGCCCTGGATATGACGGTGTTCCTGGAGTACCAGGGATGCCGGGAGTTCCTGGATGCCCTGGATATGACGGTGTTCCTGGAGTACCAGGGATGCCGGGAGTTCCTGGATGCCCTGGATATGACGGTGTTCCTGGAGTACCAGGGATGCCGGGAGTTCCTGGATGCCCTGGATATGACGGTGTTCCTGGAGTACCAGGGATGCCGGGAGTTCCTGGATGCCCTGGATATGACGGTGTTCCTGGAGTACCAGGGATGCCGGGAGTTCCTGGATGCCCTGGATATGACGGTGTTCCTGGAGTACCAGGGATGCCGGGAGTTCCTGGATGCCCTGGATATGACGGTGTTCCTGGAGTACCAGGGATGCCGGGAGTTCCTGGATGCCCTGGATATGACGGTGTTCCTGGAGTACCAGGGATGCCGGGAGTTCCTGGATGCCCTGGATATGACGGTGTTCCTGGAGTACCAGGGATGCCGGGAGTTCCTGGATGCCCTGGATATGACGGTGTTCCTGGAGTACCAGGGATGCCGGGAGTTCCTGGATGCCCTGGATATGACGGTGTTCCTGGAGTACCAGGGATGCCGGGAGTTCCTGGATGCCCTGGATATGATGGTTTTCCTGGAATTCCAGGTCTCCCTGGAGTACTAGGGATGCCAGGAGTCCCTGGATGCTCTGGATATGACGGTGTTCCTGGTGTTCCTGGAGTACCAGGGATACCAGGATGTCCTGGATGCCCTGGATATGACGGTGTTCCTGGAGTACCAGGGATGCCGGGAGTTCCTGGATGCCCTGGATATGACGGTGTTCCTGGTGTTCCTGGAGTACCAGGGATGCCGGGAGTTCCTGGATGTCCTGGGTATGTTGGTGTTCCTGGTTTTCCTGGCGTGCCTGGAGTACTAGGGATGCCAGGAGTCCCTGGATGCCCTGGATACGATGGTTTTCCTGGTGTTCCTGGAGTACCAGGGATACCAGGATGTCCTGGATGCCCTGGATATGACGGTGTTCCTGGAGTACCAGGGATGCCGGGAGTTCCTGGATGCCCTGGATATGACGGTGTTCCTGGTGTTCCTGGAGTACCAGGGATGCCGGGAGTTCCTGGATGTCCTGGGTATGTTGGTGTTCCTGGTTTTCCTGGCGTGCCCGGAGTACCAGGGATGCCAGGAGTCCCTGGATGCCCTGGATATGATGGTTTTCCTGGTGTTCCTGGAGTACCAGGGATACCAGGATGTCCTGGATAGTAGCGGTAACTTGTTACTTTTTCTACTCGGTAATGAATAATTGTAACTTGTTTTAAAAAGTGACTTTCCGTTTTCTAGTATGTTATATATTTTTGAAATTTATTTTGACAGTTATTGTTTGGAGAATTTTCAATGATGCTAAACAAATAGTTTTTAAATGACATCTATAGTGAAAAAATGAATATGATATAAGTATTTTCGTTTCAATTGTATATTATTATACGTAATGTTACTTTAAATATTATATTTTTGCATAATATTATTCCTTTCTTTATTTTATTAATTGTATATATATACAGGGTGTTGGGAAAATAATGATAAATTTTTCATAAGGGTAGAATGTGCTAAACTGAGAAGAAAAACCCTCTACCATGTTATAATTTTCTCAATAGTCATGATACTAATTGCTATAAATTACCGAAAATTGGTCTTCAATAAATTTTTACTTAAATACTATCAATTTTACAGAAAAACTACAAGAAACAAAATTTGTTTATTTTCTTCTAGAAATCTACGAATTTTTTCATAATTTTTTATCAACTTTTTAATACTGCATTTTCTCGCTTTACCAACATGAGAAAATACGATATTAAAAAATTTTGAAAAAATTAAAAAAAAATTCTTAGAGCTTTATGAGAAGAAAATAAATAATTTTTATCTCTTGCAGTTTTTCTGTAAAGTTGATAGTATCTGAAAAACTACAAGAAACAAAATTTGTTTATTTTCTTCTAGAAATCTACGAATTTTTTCATAATTTTTTGATGATAGTATCTGAGTAAAAAATGATTGAAGACCAATTTTCGGCAATTTTTCGCAATATCTTGTTAATTATTGCGAAAATTGCAAAATGATAGAGGACTTTTCTTCTCAGTTTAGTCCCTATGCAAAAGATTTATTATTATTTTCCAAATATCCTGTATATATTTTTTGGACTAAACTTTATACACAAATTTATTATTTTACTAAGAAAAACATCCTTATTATTGTTAAATCATTCCCGTATCGTTTATTTTAACTTTAATATGCTTTTATTTGATTATTGGTATGGTCAACGCGATGCTACAAATGCTTTGAAACGTTTTTTAATTGGTCAGTTTGTAAAATTCTTTCTTCTGATTGGTCCATCAAACACTTCAAAGCATTTATAGCATCGCGTTGACCGAGACTTTGATCACAACCTACGCCTCTAATTTTATTATGACTATTTACTGTTATTGTAATATTTTTTATTATTATAATTTATAATTGTTGGTTACGTCATTGTGGAGTAAATTCCTCTTGAACATGATATTATATATTTCTGTTATTAATTATTACTTATATCTAATAGATTCCTAATTCACTTTTACCATCCAGCTTTTCAACTAGAGAATCTTATAGCGAATTCGGTCACTTGCATTACACTAGATCAGTGCATATTGAAAGCTGCTTTACATGACATTAGCAAAGTTAAATGTAAAAATATATAAATATTTTAAACGATTAACTACCCAGATAGCAAAATGTCTGCAGTCTTCTAGCAGACTGTCAGCAGATTCTGCAGGAAATGGCGGCAATCTGATATCAACTACATCCGCATTAGGCTTGTGTTCTGTTAACATCATCTGTCGACATAATGTGAAGGCAAATTGTTGGCAGAAACTGAGCAGATCCTGTCGACATTATCTGACACTAATAGCGTTTTCGATTGGGCAAAAGTTAGTGCGCACCAGTGCGCACTCAGTTCACACCAACACTGGACGAGTTCCATGGGTTGCACTGAATAGTGCAAGTTCAAAAGAATACGCCAAGATTTTCAGTGCTAAAGCTGAAACTCATTTTTGTTCACTTTGAAGCAATGTTCAACAAAATGTTACAAAACCACAGTAAAAGATATTAAGAGTAGGGACAAGACCCCGTTTTCAATTCAATTGCGCAGATTTGCTTGTCCCTATGTATATCCTTAACTGTGATAAAACGTGCACTGAACTGGCACCGTCAAAATATCTCGTGCCACTTAGTGCGCACTGAGTGCGCACTACGCGAGTGTCGTGCGATCAAATGAACACGTGACACTAGCCAAGTGCTCATTGGTACTGCCAATCGAACACGCTTTTGACACTGAGTGCAGCCAGTGCACCCCAATCGAAAACGCTATAAACTATCAACAAAAACGACGCAGATCCTGCTCTAACACGACCTAACAGCAGATTGTCATAAAAATTGATAATTGATAATTGATTGTCGACAGATTGTCTCAGAATCTGCTGGGTTTCTGTCAACAATCTGCTGTCAAATCGTGTCGACAGGATCTGCTTGGTTTCTGTAAACAATGTACTATCAGATTACCACAAATCTGCTCTGTTTCTTTCTCCAGTCTGTCATTTACTTCTGCTTGCAGATTCTGTTACGTTTTTTCTAGCTGTCTGTCAACATTATTGTGTACATCTAATTCTGTAACAATTCTGTTGTTATTTTATTGGCATAGTGTGTAGCATACATTTCAAAACTCTGCTTCCTACAGGCTTGGCTATCTGGGTATCAATCAATGATATTTGTCACGTTATTTAACGAAATATATGTGTATCATTTTATTATCAAAGTTGATTATATTATATCACTGAGCAGCATTGAGATATTTTATAGAAAGTAGCTTTTAATATTCACTAATCCAGTGTAGTGCGAGTGATCGAATTCACTATTACTCTTTAATGGATGAATGTTACCGCCTCACAATGGTATTGATACTTCAATTTATTGCGAGTGTCTTCTCAAGGTTTTTAACTACAAGTCGTGGATAACAATTGATTGTACCATCTACTGAATTTTTTGCTGAACAAGGCTTAAAGATTAGTCGAAACATGTATTTTATGATATATTATAAAATATTTTAAAGAGAAATAAAAACTGCGCACCGTCTACAGAACTAATTTCTAATTGCCTGGCGTTATCATTTGTTTATAATACTTTTTTGAATCTTTATTGTTGATATCGACAATTATGATTTATGAAAACGTATTTCATGTATTTCTGCTTTATCTACATTGTGATAAGATTTCGAAATGTAGAGGTATCTTCTTATTTGATGCTTCAACACTCAGTCTGACAATCAAAGTTTCAATATTATTTCTGTTAACCTCTAATTGTAATGATTTTTATGAAAAAATACAGTATCAAATGTTACTCTTTTTTTAATTTTTAATACATCTTTTACTTTCTAATACATTATGAAGTTTATTAATAATGTAATTAATTTTATATATAATATTGCTCTATATATGTGTATGTTTTATGATGTAATTTTAAATACATTGTTATTTTTTTTAATATATAATATAGTATTTAAAATTTTTATACCTGATGAGCTAGGTTTATAAGGAGGTCGAGTTGGTTTTGTTTCAATCATTGATCCGCTTCCAATAGGTGCTGCTTAAAATTCCAATAGATGACCACATATTTATTTTAATAACACACTCATTTGCAGTTTTTATGTATAATATACATAAACCTGACAATAAAGTTCCCAACTGTAGCAGTAAAGAAACACAGATATTACACATAACAAAGTGTTGTATTTTATCTTTTAAAAATAATTTATTTATTTTATAGAGCTTTTTTAATATTATTTTTTATCTTTTAAACTTTAAAGTAATCCTTCATAACATGTATGCATTTTACATATCTTTAATATAAACCTGTTTTTTTTTAATTTGTAGTTAGAATGCTGTCCCCCCCCCAAAAAAAGCTCTAAAATATTTTATTTAAACTCAAATGTTATTATTAAAAACATTCTTTACCCTTTTGTGTAATATATTAAATATATTTTATGAAGAAATTGAATAACGTTTTATAAAAGAAGTTGAATAAAGTTTTATAATTATATAACATGTACATAGATTCGACTTATTAGAAAGATAAATATTTTCAAAACATCGAAGACTTTTTAGAGGAATGTGATGACTGTTCTAAACAGAATTGCAACTATATAGACTTTAAAAAAAGTTTCGAATATTTAATAGATATATAAAATGTGTTGATGTCATGGGAAACGACTTCAATTTAAAAAATACAATATAACGTTTGTTATGAGATATTTGTATTCTTTTTTTATTTCTGCAATTCTGGAACTATACTGTTAGATCACATATACCTTCATTTACATACTTCCTTCACTTGATGGAATGTTCGTGCTTGTGTATTGCGCACACACCATGGGGAAATGTAACTCTCGCCATGGTGTAATCACACCATGATGCTCGTGATGATCATGTTTGTCTCCGTTTTCATGATGTTCATGCTTGTGAAGGAAAAGTTCCACGTCTTTCCCTGGTTGAACAACGCGATAACCCCATCCGTCACTGATATAAAACGTTGTTTTTAGATGGCCAAAGGGATCAACGTAGCCATAACATCCATAGGTAATCCCATGTAGGCCACGTATTTCGTGATGAAATTGTCCATGTGGGTTGACATCGTAACCATATTTGTATGCATCTGTAAAGTACAATAATCAATTGTAATCGCAACTTGTTATATCTAAATTTTGACCATAAGAAAAAGTGAAACCTATAATTTTTACGTCTTATTTTAGGTAACATTTTATATTAAAAATGGAACATATTAAAATTATGGACTCACTTTATTTGTGTGTCAAACTCTTTATTATCTATATTTTTTTCATTATTTTTAAGTCTTTTGGACTTGCCTGCTTCAAAGTTTTGGCTTAAGTACTGAATTTTTTGTTCATCGCTGATGCTTAAAATCACTTCTCCATCTCGATTGGTACTTGTTAATTTCTGAGTGAGTTGCGACATGGAAGTAGCAATCACCTGAAAAAATAATTGTTTTTTTTATTGTTTGCAAGACATAGATAAGTCGAATCTATGTACAGGGTGTTACAGATACATACTAGGCAGTACGAGTATCAAACACCCTGTACATGTTATATAATTATAAAACTTTATTCAACTTTTTTTATAAAACTTTATTCAATTTCTTCATAAAATATATTTAATATATTACACAAAAGGGTAAAGAATGTTTTTAATAATAACATTTGAGTTTAAAAAAAATTATTATTTCTTAAGATAATTTATTCAATGAAAAAAGGAATAATGGTGGTAGTGGATAGTAGTGGATAAAGGTCAATAACGAAATAGAAGTTAGAATTGAACGAAGAAAATATTGTTCCGTCCACACAGGAACTAGCGATATCGTGTATTCAATGATTCTAGTGACTATAAAAGTATTTAAATTTTTGTTATGATTAATAAAAATCTAAAGATATTCATGTTTTATATGCATATATAGTATTTTTCAATATCTATTTATAAAGCTATATAATTATTCATGCCCCTGTAAATACGCAGTAAACTACATTTACAGTTATTATATATGTTATCTTTATGCAGAAGACTCTTTTTCTAATAAGAAACAGTTATTAATCGCAATAATTTGCTTTGTCCAGGCACGTGACATTTCCAGTGAAACATGATGTAATTAGTTGTTTAAAAACAGTTGGCCTTTAATATCAGTCGTAGAATTATAAGTATTTGATGCGATCTGCAAGCACATATCGTGAAATATCATAGTCGGCATTTCCAGTTTCTGTAGTTAGAGCGATTTGTAATTCTCAGCTATTAATTTTCCAAACATTGTGCAACTAGTAACACGCAGTCTAAAGTATTTTAAATATAAATTATGTTTCGATTGTGTAGAAAAAAAGAAAGGAAGGAAGAAAAAGGTATGAAAGTAAGAAACAGGGAAAAAGAATTTTGTTCAGAGACTAGACAAAAATCTAATAAGCTTTGTAGATTCCACTTATTTTATATTCAATAACATTATATATAAGCAGAATTACGCGGCACTCCTATGAGTTCTCCACTTTTTCCTATTATTGCTGATCTAGTTATGCAAAAATTAGAAAAAACAGCACTAAATAGGTTTAATAGTCAAGTTCCTTTTTACTACAGACATGTGAATGACCTTTGTGTTGCAGTTCCATCTCATATGATAGATTCTTTTTTTGATTGTTTCAATTCTGTGCCAGACTTCAATTCACACACTTTAGAGATTAGTGATGGCTCGCTTAATTTTTTAGATGTTAAAATAATGATCATCAACGAACAATTAAGTTTTGATTGGTATCATAAATCAACTTTCTCGGGTAGATTTATCAATTTTTTTTTAACCATCTCTTATCTCAGAAAAGAGGAATAGTCTTTAATTTGGTGGATAGAGCTTTATTGCTTTCAAACAAAGAACATCATGTGAAAAATATAACTTTTACAATTAATATACTATGACTATTACATAATGATTATCCACTTGATTTTATTTTTTAGACTTTAATAACAGAATTGAGAACATCCGGAAAAGAGAATCCAAATTACGTGAGAATAATGATGAGAATAAACATTTTGAGAAAGAAGTATCTTGGTTTGTGGTTCCTTTTATTCCAGGGTTCACAGATAGATTTAAACAAATGAGTAATAAGAATATTAAAACTGCATTTTATAGTACCAATAAGTTAAATAAATATATTAAAGTTCAAAAAGATTCAGAACAATCTAATAAATGTAACGTTGTCTACAAAATCTGTTGCAATGATTGTGTTGCATCGTATGTTGGACAAACGGGTATGCAACTAAAAACAAGGATTGCAGAACATCGTAATCATATTAATTGGAATACGTCTACCCGTTCTGTGATAACTGAACATAGAGTGCAGATGCAGCACGATTTTGATTGGGATAGCGTTAAGGTTTTAGACGAGGAACCACGTTACAACAAACAATTGATATTGGAAATGTTAAATATTAAAAAACAAGATAATAGTTTGAATCTTCAAACCGATACTGAAAGTCTTAACAAAGCTTACATATCTATTATAAACAAAGTTTGACACTATCGATATTTGTGTCATACCAATCTATCAGAAAATTAAAATTAGTTCGTGGCGAGAAGTCGTTGTGATAACTTGTCTCATAAGAGTTCTTTATAACAAGGAAAAGGAAGGAAAAAAATTTTTTAACAATTCTTTTTTAACTCATTTAACTGGGAATAATACTATTTTATTCTTTTTGTTTATTATATTGTCTTATAATTTAATTGAGAATTGTGTATAATTGATAAAAAGTTATCTGCGAATTTTTTTATATCTTTTGACAAGGATCGACTAATACAATGAGATACTCGAGTGTTCGGTGAGTGTGGAAAAGAGATTATTTCTTTTAGCAGTCTTTCTCATAAATAAAAAATAAATAAATATTCTGTTATGTATATAATATCTAGAAATTTCAAACATACGGTCAGTAAATCGTTTGAGAGAGAAATTTTATATCTTGGAAGACACTCATCTACCATTCAAGGTCGATCATAGATATTTTTGTAATTACCCAATATTACCGAATATTAATGAATATCTTGCGGAAATGTTAACTACGTTGGAACATCTGAAGATGGCTTGATATAAAGCTGAAACATGTAATGAAGCTTACTAACATTCAATTAAATTTTTATTTTTTTTTAATTCTGTGACATATATATATTTTTAACGTTTTATTTGACTCTTATATGTCCGTTACATTATTATTTGAAATTTTATAATATTTAAGAATCCTACGAATCTTTTTATTGGTATTTAATATGCTTTCACTTTTTTAGGTGTGATCGACTAAGTGTTACTCTCTCTGTCGTTTCTGATCTCAATGAATTATCCATTTTATATAAGCGAAAGTCGAAAGCGATCAATGACTAACAGTAGAAATTCTTATTCAATTTTCAATCTACATGAGATAATAATTTAGAAGAATTTTGCATATACATCGTCCACATACGTTACATATAGGTACATCGTTCATATTATACACATATATCGTTCGCGAACGTGTGTGTAGTTTCAGTATAGTAACGCGTAAAAGTAATAATATAACTTTATAATAGATGCATCATATTGGATGCAAGATTATTTCAATTTAATGGAGATCAAATTTAATTGATTGATATATATAGATTTATCTTTTTCTCAAATTTTCGATTTATTCATGATTCGCATATTTATTTTCTCTCCATGTATGTGCATAATATAAAACGATGGTTTTATGCACTCACGTTCGCGATTTATATGCATATCCTTTCCTGTATACAGAATATATAACGGAGAAGATGTTTTGGTCTCTTGAATTTATTTGAATTTTGCGGGTATAATAGAAAATTTATTTAAATTTTACTTAACCTACTTCAAAGAGTTCAAAGTCTTCAAATTAACTGTAGGTAAGTATGATTCATAAAAATAATTGTAGTACTTTTTGATTTTTAAAAGGTATCTAGAAAGATGTGTGAATCCGAAAAAAATTTATTTTAAATAAAAATTTGTTTCAGATCTTAAATGCAATCATTTAAACAATTAATTAAAAATTTAATTAGATAAACTTATATTGATTAATAAATATTATAACTTAATTATAATAAGTAACTAATTGCAATAAGTTATATAAGTTTAATAATAATTTAATTAAATAAACTTATAATGACTAGTCAGTTTTATAATTTCTGGAACATGTCAAGATCGTATCTCATGTTAAAGATGCAAGGGATCATATATCATATATTTAACTGCTCGTCTAGTTGAGAATATCTCAAGTTATCAATCGTTGCAGTATTGCCTATCTAAAAAGATTTCTACGACCTTCTTATTTAATTAAATAAACTTTTTTAATTATAAATATATTATTCATATTTTTAAAATTATGCGACATTTCCATACACGATATAAATTTTTTTTAACTGTTATTAAATTATTATACCCTCCCCCATTTATATTATTTGCAAGGCATATTACTCAAAATATTCAAAAACTATAATAAGGTATACCGGACAATGAGAACATCAATACAGCGCTGTAATTAATGCGCAAAAAAAATACATAATTATCAAATAAAATTTACATATTATAAAGATGTACAATGATTGTCGCAAAAAAAACCGACAATCATTGTACATCTTTATAATATGTAAATTTTATTTGATAATTATATATTTTTGTGCGCACCAATTACCGCGCTGTATTGATGCTCTCATTACCCGATATACCCTATTATAGTTTTTAAATTTGAGATCCTGATTAATATTTAAATTTTCAAAGTATTCAGTAATATTTTTATAAGAATTAAATAGAATATATTTATAAAAATTAAATAGAATTAGAAAGGATTATACAACTATATAAGAATATTATGCAGCCGCTACATTAGTATATTGTTCATTGCATTGGGGTGAATCGACTCGGGGATAAAATTTGACATATCGGTACCGAATTCGATTTCTTGCTCATCCCCTCTTGCTATTCTATCCAACAAGTCTTATAGTTTAATAATCAGGATATCTACATTCTCGTAAAAATGCCATCTATTGCAGAAAATAACGATGATCTATCAGAAACTGTTGCCATATCCGCAACCTCCCTAAATGGCGACATAGAAATAGTTTACGTATTATTTATGTAGATTATCTCTCAATTTTTTACTTTTCATGCTTAAAATATTTCAACTTCTCCACGCCACATCATTTTAGAATTATATTAATATTCATATTTAGATCCTAATAAAATAGATCTTTTAATATATATTTTAATAATCATTAATATTCTCCAATAATCCATTTCATTCGTTTGTCATGTAAATATGCCACAAAAGTGGCACATATCCTGGTCGACTAACAAGTTAGGTTTGGCCAGGATCCACGGTCGCGATTGATGATCTCAACCGTTGTTCCACCCACGAGAAGGGAAAGTCGCGATTCCAAGAAGGCTGTGCGAGCGAGACTCTTC